GGGCAGGAACCAAAAAAAAGAGACATATTTTTTCTTTTTTTTTTCTTTTTCTCGAAAAATGAAATTTCACCAGCATCGCGTTCTTCCTTAGGGCCTCCATAATCACGTGTTGAAGTTACAGGTTATTCGGTGCACCCAGTTTGGACGGAAAGTTTTATCAACTTTTTTCACGTTTCTGATGTATATTGTGTGACCCCTTCGTGTCACCTTAAAGTCCCCGTACTCGCGATCAAATGGCTTTACGATCCTACATACCTTTACGATCGTTAAGTCTACGTACCTCGGGGTGTACACTGGGAGACATCAATGCCCTCCAATTCTGCACAGGCGATGCCGTATCTGCAGGGGAGGCATTCATGTCCGCCATTGTACACTGGGAAACATCAATGCCCTCCCATCCTACACAGGGGATGCCGTATCTGCAGGGGAGGCATTCATGTCCGCCATTGTACATGGCCGTACTCGCACGCAAATCGTACACGCATATTCGCTTCCCGAGATGCTATCGCCGGTCCGTACTTTGCGACAACGCGTCCAGGGTACCGGTTTGTTGCCGATCCCCTCAACGCGTGTCGCGGTTGTAAACCCGCGTGCGGAATCGTAATCGCAGGGGTGGGCGCGGTCCGGATACCTCGGTGTAATTTATTTACTATCGAAGGGTCCCATCGATCGGAAGAAATGGTGCATATCCTATTTATTCGGCTTCATTTGAGTCAAATGATAATTCTTTAAATTGATAAAATATTTCTTTGGTTTAAGACTTCTCTTATTTTTTTTTTCCCCCTTAGTGCTGGCACCATTTCTCTATTCGAAATGCATTATTTACTTACGACAAGTCGTCATCTATGCTGTGAGATGTACCGAAAGTTTAAGGACTTCCCGAGGGTGGATTCTACTTCTTAATGTACACCCACACTATATGACGATTTATTTCCATTAGCAAGGGTGAAAACTGGAAAATGGCGAGAAAAATTTCCATGTAGGAACGCTTCTCACTGTGCGAGCGATAGTGAAATTATTACCCGTCACCGATATTCTCTTTATTTTATTCTCGTGGTGGTAATGATCTTTACTAAGAACGACAAACTATATATATAATTTTATTGAGTGGGAGCATTATTAATATTTTTTCTCTAGTAGACTCTACTATGGTTGCATCCACGTGTTGCCGCTGAGATGGCTATTACCGCAGTTAGGGCAGAAGTTTATCGGCAGTGTTGATGTTTTTTTTTTCTTTTTCATTTATTTCTTAGTCAGGGAGTTAATTGTAATTTTTCTCAGCCTGCGGTCGGAAGCGAGCGGTGACGTCGCGTCGCGACCCTCCCAGGTGGAAAGTGCGTTGGTAGCAGGTGGAGGGAACGGCAGGGAATGTCATCGAGACGGTTATGGCCTGTCGAGAAGCGGACTTTAAGGACCTCCTTATCGGTAACTACGTCGATTTGCATGCCATCCGCGTCCTCTCGCGGTTGGGTTACCCACAAACATTCGATTGACCCGCCTTTTTAAAACGGCGAGGGGCCCCGTTTAAGCGACTCATTGTGTCGCGAGTAACGTCCTGGGGGGAAATTTCGGCCTTCGACTTAGGATATCTGTGCCTGGGACGACCTCGATCCTCGCAAACGCGATGATACCGCTAGGAATAACGATCCCTCGCCTACTTGTACACGCGATTTGTTCGTCTCGTTACTCTTCTTCGCAAGTCCTCGACTCTCGTTTCCACTTGTCGCCGGGACCCGGGGAAACGGTCAAGCATGATTCTATTTCATGTTAACACATTCGCAAATTTTTTTCGTTTCAAACACTGAGTACTGGCGAAAATAATGAAATTCTGAAACTGGTTGCCGCAAACTTGTATCGTGTATCGTTATGGACGTGATTCACGTCAGCGGTAAACCAGGAATAGAACTTGAAAAGACGTGAATTCACGTCAGCGGTCGCGAATGTGTTAATGAAGAAAATCCAAAATCATCGGAGTCGGCTCGAGAAAAGCAAGGTCGTAAATCGAGGTCTGGCCCTGCCGGGTAAAACTCTGTTTTCGAGCCCTTCGACGAAGCCAGGAAGGACGACGGCCTCGCTGGCGTCCCTTGGTCACCGATATCGTCCGTTCGCACAATCGGGCCGTAAATTACGGGAGTTTGTATTGTTAAGGGAGCCGGAAGACAACCCCCTCCAGGGTACAACGCGATTTTTGTCCGACCTTAAGGAATTAGGGAACTTAGTCACCCGATTACCTCTACGGCTGACCCGGTCGACGACGTCCTGCTGGGTTTGTTTTTCTCGAGTTTAACCGTGCTTTCACGGATTATTTCATATTGTCCATGGATGACGAGGCTCGAGCCACGTCTTTGTCCTCTTGGAGGGACTTTGGCACGCGAGCCTTGTGACGGAAACCTCGGGTCGGTCCCAACAACCCTCATTGGCATGAAAATTCCATAATTGTAACGGGTAATCTCGGATTAGTGATATATATTCCTGACTCATCGGCTAGGACTCTACTAACCGGAGATTAAAATCCGCTCTTAGGTTGCCACCTGAGATCGCACGATCAAATTGAAAATGGCGTCCAGGGAATCAACCGTCTTGTCGAACTTCTACTCCGAAATGGGTGCACCGAATTGTTCTCGAAACTCCACCACGTGAACGTGGAAGCCCATTCGTTTCTTCATTTCTTTATGTTGTATACAAAGAAAAGAAAGAGAAAAAAGAAATTAAGAATAGATTCACCATTAAATTTTTTCGACCCTGAAATTTCGAGCGCTAGAAAATATCGTGCAATTTCGTATATCGTGCACTTTTATATATTGTGCACTTTCGTATATCGTGCACCTTCATACATCGTGCACCTTAATCGCGCGACAAATCATCCTCGATGAAGGACTTCAACTCGAACGTTGACGCGCTCTTTGTGAGGCCTCGCGGCGCGTCCAAGATGGCGGCGGGCGCAAATAGAGACGCGCACGACGGAATATCCGCAAGTGCGGTTCACCGGCCGCGTGTCTCACGGGGAATCGCGAGAGGATGGGAACAAAGGCCGCCGGCACGCGCCAGGGACGCGAGTGCATCCCCGCCTCGAAATAGAATTCCCCAGTACCCGGCGAGGGTCCTTAACCTATAAATCTCGAGGAAAACCTGGCACGGCGACGGCGGCGTCGCGGAAGTCCCGGCGTGTCGCAACTTCCCCCGCGGCCGCGGCGCAACCTGAGGATACAAGATCGCCTCCATAAGCCGCGGCCTACCTCGGCACTCGCGAATCCGAGTCGCCATTTTCGGAAGAATCTCGCCTTGACATTATTCCAGCCCCGAGTCTCGTCGAGATGCCCATATACGGCGGCGAACCTTTTGGACTATCGGCGCGTGCATTTTCAACTCTGAATAATCGCGACGAATGAACACTTTTGAATTTTCAAAAATTGAAGGAAAAAAAGAAGAAAAAGAAGAAAAGAAACCTACCTCAATGGAGACACTAAAAAGTAGAAAGTAATTATGTCCGAATTATACCTATCTACTAACTGCTGTGGATTTCTAAGTATTCCCTTTTTTTTTTACTTGGCAAGTTTGAAGTCGGTGCAAAAAAAAAAATTAAGGTAACGGAATGTGAAATCGATGACACTGATGTCGCTTCGTTTCCTTTTTGCGCTCGACTTTAAATATTCCAAAACAAATACTTAGGCAGTTTGGGCATAATTATTTTTCACTTTGTAACGCCGTTTTCAAAGGCGGATGAAAATGGCGACAATCGTCAACCGTAATTACGGCGGATGTCCTTTAGCTTGGGGGGAGGTAAATTTATCTCGAGGAAAGCCCGATCGACGCGAATTAGGCATGTCATCCGGTAATAAAGGCGAAAATATATCTAATCGCGACATCCGGCCGCGATTAGGCTCCTTTTCTCTCTCGGTATACGAGCAAACCTCGGAGGTCCATGTCGAGAAGTGGAGTGGACACCGTAATCCGATTTACTAGCGAGAGGAGAGGCGGCCTTAATCGCGTTGAAGCAATATTTACTCCGGCTCCCATTATCTGGAGACACCTTGACGCGATAATAGTTCTTAGTTTTTTCTTTCTTTTTTTCCCCTATCGACGCGCTCGAGTTTCGGAGTAATCGTTTAGGCGGCACTCCAGAGTGAATGGAAACGGTCGATCCGGGTGTGGATAATAATACTCGTTTTATCGGGTTTTATCGGGTCGCCCGAAAAATTATTACTAATTTTTTTTACCGTTAAAGACTTAACGCTTCGGTATCGTCTAAACCTGTCTCTTCTGCCCGTCTACTTTATCCGCCATTTTACCCCATCTTTCTCTAAACCTCGATAACGATAATCGTGCTTTAAATGGTAACCAATTTATCCGTAAGGAATTCATCATAACCCTTAAATTACAATTACTCCTCTTAGAGTACAGAACGAAATCCGGTATGCACCTTGAAAAACGAAAATTCATTGGATCTCAAAGAAATATTTTGTTGATTCAAGGAATAATTTCGTCCAGTTTTTTTTTTTTATTTCGAGTTTATTCAAGCGAAATAAATATTCTTGGAATTAACGGAATATTTCTTTGGTATTATTCAGAGATGTGTTTTTGGATCAGGGAGATTTTTCTTTTTTTTTTTCTCGGGGTAACGTGGACATGTAGATGGGATTTTGTAAGGAAAGCGTCGGGACTTTCCTGTCTAAGGGCAGGGAAAACTGCGATTACTTTCTGCGGAAGCTAATATCTCGGATCGATCGATAGTGCCCTCGATATAGATCGGCCTATCGGAGACTCGTTCCGATGGAACGCGAATCTGGTTCCGATCGGAGGTTCCGCGAACCGACGACGGGCTTTGTATCGCAGGAAACGGGCGATCGTTCCGCGGTACCGTATATCGCGCCAATCGGTAATCAAGATGGCGGTGACGTCACCGAGCGCCGAGTCCGAGTGGTGGGGGGCGGAGCGGCGCTCTTTCTATATAGTTAACCCGCGGCACGTTGGCGCGCTCAGTAGTGCGTATGCGCGGGCGTGTGCGGTCTCGAGGAGGCGCCGGACGGACCACTTGACAGTTTGACAGTGCCAGTCGACCCTCGACCACCGAACCCTCCGGTCGGTTCTCGATCGCCGTGCTTTTCCACGTGCCTTTGTCGGTTGGTAGACGTACTCGTGTATACTCGTGAATACTCGTGTGTACTCGTGTATATACCTACATGCGTACACGTATACACGCGCGTTCGTAGTAATCGGGCGAAGAGAGCGCAGGCGTGTGCGCCAGGCGAGATCAGCTGACTTTGACAGGTCCGCGAGTTCGCGGATCCAGGGGAAAGCGGCTGGCCCACGGCCAATCGGTGGCTCGGATTTTCCGCCGGAACCGAGACTAGTTCCTTTTTTCTTTTTCTCCCCGATGACGCAACGCGTGCCCAGCGCAGGCCTCTACGAGAACCTGGCCGAGGACCACAACTACACCATGTTCTCGATGTATCCCGCCGCCAACAGCCCCCTCACGGACAATTGGGCGCTCACCAAGGAGGAGAAGGCCATGGTGAGATAAACTGGGAATATTCTGGGGGAATTTATTTTCATCCTTCTCGTATCCCCCTCTGTATGATTCTGGGAAAGTGAGGTTGGGTACTCCAGTAGAATCGCTGCCATGTGGGAACGGGAATTTATATACATATATCAAACATGCATAACTCGGATAAAGAGACGACTATATCACGTTAACGAGCGATTTTTACTCATCGAAACGCGGTATGGCTATTCCGTTGCGGAAAGCGAAGTGCTTTTGAAAATGCGATCTGTGAACAGACCCTAAGGTCCCGCGACGCATGCGCGTAAAAACGCACGCCAATGTTTACGCGTAAACGCGATATAGCCGTGCTGGTATGCGAGGCGACGTGCCTTAGAAATCGCGCATTGTGAACGAGCCTTAAGCTCGCGCGACGATCGCGGCCGCGTGACGTTGCGAGGTGCCTCTGCGGAAGCAGGGAGTGCAGAGTCACGGCGATTCCGCGAGACTCCTCGGCTGCGGAAAGATACGCGGAATTGTACATATTTGCACATAGGCATACGAGCTGCGCCGAATAATTAACGGCGTCAAGTGCGGCCGTTAAACCCGCTCGTTAGACGCGCATTTTCGGGGAAAGTGTTCCGGGAGTCGCGCCGGGTCGCGGCTAAATTGCGGAGCTTCCGCCGGCGACGATAATGGCGATCCGGCATGATAACGAGCTCGGGAAGGAGAAAGGTCCGCTGCTAAAATTCCCTCATTAGCGTGCCCTGTGCTTTTAAACCCGAAATTAGGCACGTCGAGGGTGATTTGCGACGGAGTTGAGGAAGGTCGTGGCCGTCGTTAATGGAGACTTCTCGATCCGTCCTCGAAATTGTTATGGAAATTGTGCTCGAAATCGTTCCTGACGTATTAGGGAACGGCCCGATCGGCTCTGACGATAGCGCGTGGTCGTTAGCAGGGAAATCGTCAAATCCACCTGACTCGGAAAATTTGGACGTTCCGCTCGGATTGGTGGAAAGCAACGCTCCACCGAGGAGCGAGGAGCGACGAGTACCCGATACGCGCCTTACGTAATGGACGGGCTCGACATTAAGCTAATTGACGTCGTCGTACGCAATGGCGCAGCCACTTCTCAATTTCTCGGAACGTCCGGCTTGCCGGGGGAAAAGGCGACGGCGAAGCCGCCACCGCCTTGACTTTGCCTTACCTGCGAGCGTTTTCACCGGCCGAGACTTGGGCAACGCGTTGACGTAAACGTTCTGGCCCTTTCTTTTTCTTTTTTTCCTCTTTATCGACGATTCCCGCGAATCCGGGTCCAAAATCGTGACCTGGGTCGCATCGAGCATGGAGTTTAGGGGAAATTCACGGAATCATCGGACCGCTCGACGAAACGCTGCGGATTTTTTTTTTTTTTTATTAGCTTCTTTAGACCGGGACCACGCGAGCGTCGGAAACGACGTGCGTCACGACGGACGTTGAATTTGACTAAAGTACTCCTGCACTGGGGACAAAGTTTCATTGAACTGAAGAAATAATTTGTCAATTCAATGAATATTTATTTGACTCGAATGAATTTCATGGAACATTTCATCCAGTCTTGTGACGATTCATTTGAGTTTATTTCGGTGAAATAATTATACTTTAATTCAACAAAATATTCCCTTGGTTCCATGAATTTTTTTTTTCGTCTCGGGGCAAATTCGCCGATTAACTGGAATTCCTATTCTTTTAACTGAACTTTCTTTTGAGTATGCTATTGTACGCTCGGACAATTGACGTACTCGCGTGGCCCCGGCCTCGTCGGCATAATTTACAATTTCTGAACCATCCAAACATTAATGGGGGGAAACTATTGAACCACGAAATACAATCGTGTGGAAACGATCAGGTCTTTCCTCGACCGTAGGGTATAGATCGTATCGGCGATTAATGCACCTAATCCCGGGTTATCGGAGGAGGGAGGTCTCGACGCGAGACTTCCAGCCGAATAAAGGACCAAGTGGGCGACAATGCAACTCCTCTGAGCCGGCTTCGATTGTTGCCCTCTTTCCCTCTCGTACTTGGCTCGAATTGAAATACGGTCTCGGCACGATTTAGGTCAGCCTACTTGAAGTGTCACCTCTTGGTGCCGCATGGTTCGTGACTCGATGCAGCCCTAAGCGGCCGTTTACTCGTTCCCACGTGGTCTCCGTGAGTTTCGGCTCTTTTGTGCCCCACGATAAGCACGTGCTTACATGCGTATACAAATATACATATATACGTATACACACATAATATATACACGTCCCTTTCTCTTGGATATATATGTTCCTTTCCGCACAATAGAGGCGTTCGCGAAGGCCTTTCCTTTGGGCCCCCGAAGTCCGCGATCGTTGCGCAAGCCTCTTATCCGCATAGAATAATTTCTTCGCGAGGAGGGGAATATGCAATCTGGGGAAAAAAAACAAAAAAAAATTCCTCGCGGCTCGTCACACGTCCTGGTAATTTTTCGGACTCACCCAGGAATCGGCCAGCAGCCGAGAGATCGAATCTCGCGACATGGCAATGGCGACATTTCGAGACCTAAATATCGCCATTGGATTTTTATGATTTTTTTTTTTTTCCTCCTATACTTGTGAAGTAAAAATTAATTTGTGGTGAGTTACAGGTATATGGAAGGCAAGGCATGGTAATTGAAGTCTGGCACTTTTTTTTTCTTTTTTTAGTTCTATTCTACTCTCGGAAGGAAATGTGAAATTTTTCTGAATTATTTTTTATGAAGTTAGAGAGAGGGGGACAATTGAGAGCTCTCGGGTGTTGGATTTGTTGAGCAGGTTTGGGGACGTCTTTAATGCCGAGTGAAACTAAATCTGGCCGGTCGGTCCAATCTCGATGTGTCCAGCCAGTCTCTCCCTCTCTCTCTCCATTTCTCTCTTTCTCTTAATTGGCCGCCCGGGAGGAGCACTCGATGCAAGAGGGTCCCGAAACGACCAGACGCGTCCACCCGGGTCCCGGCGAAACCGAAGAAAAACAGTTAAATCTGACAGGAAGCGGGGAGTTAACGCTCGTTAACCCGCCAATTAGAGGGCTTAGTTAGACGGAGGCAGGGTTAAGTTTAGCGGGAGCAATGCGGAGAGAGACCGGGTCAGAAGGCGAAAGGTGTCATCCGGGATGGCTGGGACGGTCTCACGAGATGCTGCGACCCCTTCCGAGACTCGATACCTCTACTCCAGACTCTCAATTAGACGATGTTTATTCACAAAGTAACCTCTCAATTGATTAATTCCATTGAATGAACGATACCTCTACCCCCGACTCCTTCAATTCCGTGACGTTTGCCAACGAAAGAAAAACCTCTCCAATAATTAATTCTACCTAGGAAAAAAAAAAAAAAAATTATATTTCCTCGTCTCCACCTCCAGATATATACTTTTACCCAGAGATGAAAAAGATAACGCCCGAATCAAGTGGCTACTTCCTCTGTCGGAAATATCAAATTAGACGTGGAAAAAAAAATAGAAAAATCCAGATAGGAGGGTTACTTCAGTCACGTGACGTTATGTGGAGGTTAAACGATTCCGCTTATTAATGTAATATCTTTCTTTGCCTCGAGCAAATCTTTTTTTTTTTCTTTTTTGCGGGGGATAAGAAAAGGAGAACGCCCGCGCGAGTCGAGTGCCTTTTTCCTCTGTACCGGGAATCGTCGTTCGGTTATCAGTCGGGCGATTAGCGCCGCTCGAGCGAACGGCGAGAGTCGGAGCGTGGCAGGCTTATTTTCGAAACGCTTACCTCAGATTCGCCCTCTGACTCACCGTATTCGATTTATGAATGAAAATCGTCACGTCGCGTCGTCACGTCGCGTCGCGCACATGACGAGTCGGCGTATCGGTGTGTAATCGTTGCTCGCCTCGTGCGCGCAAACAAGTGTCGTCTAGTGTACACCGAAGGAGCGATATTCTCCTTCAGGCGATTCGGATGGATATTCCATTCCGCGCGTGGGAATCGCGCGGACGCTGCAAGGCTGCGGCCGGACGCGCAGTTGCAAAAGCCGCAGCTGCGCGGAATACGAGGCTAGACCCCCGGAGAAAGTCCGGATTGATGGACGACGGTGCCTTTGGTTATCCCTTCTTCAGGGTTATCCTTTTCTTTTTTTTTTTTTTCCTTCCCGCCAACACGCGCGGAAACGACGCGATTCCGGGATTTAAGGCGACGTAAAAATCGCACGTCTAGTCGATAAAACTTTTGTCCGAACCGACGTACCGTTTGAAATTTTACCACGTGCGTATGAAGACTTGAGCGAATAGGATTTTATTTATTTATTTATTTATTTTATTTGATTCGTACCATTTTTCCCATTTTTGCATACGAAGGTAAGATTTCACGGGTGTCAGGACCTTCCTTAGGGCCTCCATAGTCACGTGGTAAAGTCTTACAGAATTTTAGTAAATGTCAGGAATTTCAGTTCTCAGGTGTGACATTCGTGTTACTTTAAGCCCGTCGCACGTACCTCGCGTTGATTTTAGCGCAATGGTGGATATTAGAATTCACCGAGGTCCTTTTAGGGCTCGTTCACATAGTGCGCTCGGAAAAACGCGTCATGTGAACGGGCCCTTACTCAGGCGTAGCTTTCCGCCACGTGTGCCGCGTTCTCGCGGGCAAAAAGTCCTCTTTGCGAAATACCGGGACGAGACAGGGTCCTCGAAAGGAGGTCGGTCCTGGGGAAAGATATCCTGCATCCGCGTGACGTCAATCCCCCCCTCGTAACCTTAACACTTTCCCCGCCGGAATGCCACTCGCGCGAGCGGACCTCGCGAGCGTCGACTATCTCGGTGGGCCGACTCCTGGGGACGCCCGTCGATCGCCGATTTTTGCGAGGAGAGGGGAAGAGGCAACAATGTATCATTTTCATCAAAATTTCGTTAACCGTCCCTACACTGTTTTTATGCCCAAACCTTGGTCTATAATCAAGGCGAAATCCTCGGAATCCTCTAGGAGGAGCGATTACACGATCACGATATTTAAACGAGGCGTTCGACCTGTCGCAAATTTTCTGC